GGGGGAGGGGAGATTTTGAAACTTGTGAAATCCACATTGATACCATTGGGCTGCAGGGTTCCCAAGCGGAATATGAGTTGCTGTTCCTGCAACCTTCGGGTGGCATCGTTGTGGCACTGCAGGAGGCCCAGGATGGACCACGTCATCTGAGGAATGGGAGGGGGAGTTGAAATGGTTCGCGACTGGGAGGTGCAGTTGTTTGTTGCGAACCGAGCGTAGGTGTTCTGCAAAGCGGTCCCCGAGTCTCCGCTTGGTTTCCCCGATGTAGAGGAAGCCACACCGGGTACAGCGGATGCAGTATACCACATTGGCAGATGTGCAGGTGAACATCTGCTTGATGTGGAAAGTCTTCTTGGGGCCTGGGATGGGGGTGAGGGAGGAGGTATGGGGGCAGGTGTAGCACTTCCTGCGGTTGCAGGGAAAAGTGCCGGGTGTGGTGGAGCTGGAGGGGAGTGTGGAGCGGACAAGGGAGTCACGGAGAGAGTTGTCCCTCCGGAAAGCAGATAAGGGTGGGGAGGGAAAGATGTCTTTGGTGGTGGGGTCGGATTGCAGATGGCGGAAGTGTCGGAGGATGATGCGTTGGATCCGGAGGTTGGTGGGGTGGTACGTGAGGACGAGGGGGATTCTTTTTTGGTTTTTATTGCGTGGACGGGGTGTGAGGGATGAGGTGCGGGAGATGTGGGAGACACGGTTGAGGGCGTTCTCGACCACCGAGGAGGGGAAGTTACGGTCCTTGAAAAACGAGGACAACTGAGATGTACGGGAGTGGAATGCCTCATCCTGGGAGCAGATGCGGCGGAGGCGAAGGAATTGGGAATAGGGGATAGCATTTTTGCAGGAAGGTGGGTGGGAGGAGGAGTATTCTAGGTAGCTGTGGGAGTCGGTGGGCTTGAAATGAATATCGGTTTCTAGGTGGTTGCCCGATATGGAGACAGAGAGGTCCAGGAAGGGGAGAGAGGTGTTAGAGATGGTCCAGGTAAACTTAAGGTTGGGGTGGAAGGTGTTAGTGAAGTGTATGAACTGTTCGAGCTCCTCGTGGGAGCACGAGGCGGCGCCGATACAGTCATCAATGTAACGGAGGAAGAGGTGGGGTTTAGGGCCGGTGTAGGTACGGAAGAGGGATTGTTCCACGTAACCTACAAAGAGGCAGGCGTAGCTTGGGCCCATGCGGGTACCATGGCTACCCCCTTTGTCTGTAGGAAGTGGGAGGAATTGAAAGAGAAGTTGTTGAGTGTGAGGACGAGTTTGGCTAAGCGGATGAGGGTATCAGTGGAGGGGGACTGGTCGGGCCTGCGGGACAGGAAGAAGCGGAGGGCCTTAAGGCCATCTGCATGGGGAATGCAGGTGTAGAGGGACTGGACGTCCATGGTAAAGATGAGGTGTTGGGGACCGGGGAATTGGAAGTTCTGGAGGAGGTGGAGGGTGTGGGTGGTGTCACGGACATAGGTAGGGAGTTCCTGGACCAAGGGGGAGAAAATGGAGTCGAGATAGTTGGAGATCAGTTCAGTGGGGCAGGAGCAGGCGGAGACAATGGGTCGACCAGGGCATTCAGGTTTGTGGATTTTGGGAAGGAGACAGAAGCGGGCAGTGCGAGGTTGGGGAACGATGAGGTTGGAGGCCGTGGGTGGGAGGTCACCTGAGGTGATGAGGATGTGGATGGTTTGCGAGATGATGGTTTGGTGCTCAGGGGTGGGGTCATGATCAAGGGGGCGGTAGGAGGAGGTGTCGGAGAGTTGGCGTCCGGCCTCGGCGATGTAGAGGTCAGTGCGCCATACTACAACTACGCCTCCCTTGTCCGCGGGTTTTATGGTGAAGTTGGGATTGGAGCGGAGGGCTGCACGTTCTGCGGGGGAGAGGTTGGAGTGGGTGAGAGGGGTGGAGAGGTTGAGACGATTGATGTCTCTACGGCAGTTGGAGATGAAGAGGTCGAGGGAGGGTAGAAGGCCTTGGGGTGGTGTCCAGGAGGAGGGGGTGTGTTGGAAGCGGGAGAAGGGGTCAGTAGAGGGAGGGTTAGGTTCACGGTTAAAGAAGTAAGCATGGAGGCGGAGGCGGCGGAAAAACTGCTCTATGTCCAAGCGTGAGCGGTATTCGTTGATCTGTGGGTGGAGGGGGACAAAGGTGAGCCCTTTACTGAGGACTGACCGTTCGTCCTCAGTAAGGGGTAGGTCTGGGGGGATGGTGAAGACTCGGCAGGGCTGGGTGCTGCTGTCTCCTCTGGAGCTGCTGGCTGTGGAGGCTGTGGGTGGAGCTGTGTCGGCGTCAGCTGTGGGCGGAGCTGTGTCGGCGTCGGCTGTGGGCGGAGTTGCGCCGGCGGTGGGCGGAGTTCCGTCCGCGTCGGTGATGGGCGGACCGGCGTCGGAGGTAGGTGGTGCGGGGTAGGCGGCGGCAGTAGCGGTGAGGGTGGTCGCGACTTCAGTGTCGGTGGCAACGGCAGCGATGGTGTTTGCTGTCCCGGAAGTGGGGAACCCGGCGGTGGCGGATGTGACGTCATCTGTGGGTTCTCCGATAGTGGGGTCTAGGCCCGAAACGTCAGCCTCTCTGCTCCTATGATGCTGCTTGGCCTGCTGTGTTCATCCAGCCCTGCACCTTGTCTCGGATTCTCCAGCATCTGCAGTTCCTACTATCTCTGATTCAATAATCTCACAGCCATTGCGGAGACATGGTTACTGGGAACTTAACATACAGGAAAGCTTGAGACACAGATGGGAAGTAAATGGTGGTGGGATAGCACTGCTATTAAGAGACGAAATGAGGATAATTGAATTTTGGATGATATGAAGTCCATTGGGGTAGAGGTAAAAAAAAGGAAAGAAGACATTGGTATGAGTAGTTCAGAGACCCCAAATAACCACTACACTTTAGAAAAGTGTGTAAACAGTATTTGACAAGTAATAGGAGCATGTAAAAATAGAGCAATAATTATTGGTGAATTTAATCTTTATGTTGATTGAGTTAATCAATCTGGAAAGGGTAAATACAGCGACAGATTCATCAAATGCATTAGGGATAGTATTGTAGATACTTTCAATATGTCATGGAGCCAACCACAGAGCAGGCTATCTTGGATCTGGTAATGGATAATGAGGTAGGTTTAATAAAAATTTTCCCAGGAAGTAGTGATTATAACATGATAGAATTTAATATTCAGCTTGAAAGTGAGAAAGTTGGATCAGAACCAACTGTGTTTAATGTGAAGGGAGTTTTAATGAAGTGAGGATAGAGCTAGAGAAAGTGAATAGGGCAGATGGATTAGCCGAAAACACAGTAAGCAAACAACAGTAGATATTTAAGAAGGTAACTCATGACTCTCAGCAACAATACATCCCAGCAAGGAGGAAAGATTCTAAAAGTGGGATAAACCAACGATGGCTAACCAAGAAAGTTAAGGGAAGTATAACATTGAAGCATAAAACATATAAGCAGGCTAAAGTCAGGGATAGCCCCAAAGACTGGAATAAATTCAGAATCCAGCAAAGGAGGACTAACAAGACAAAAAAAAGAACAAACTGCAAGGACAAACTAGTGAGGAACATAAAAAGTGATGATAAGAGCTTCTTCAAACATATAAAAGGGAAGAGAGAGGTCAAAGTGAACATTGGTCCCTTAGCAAATGAGTCCAGGGAGATCATTATGGGGAATAAAGAAATGGGACAGGAGTTAAACAGATATTTTGCATTGTGGTGGAAAATACTTTGAATATTCCATTAGTGTTAAAGAATAGGGCAGTGCAATTAAGTGCCATCACCATCACTAGAGAAGTTATATCAGACAAACTAATGGGGCTGAATGTAGATAAGTCCCCTGGATCTGATGGCTTGCATTTTAGAATCCTAAAAGAAGAAGCAACATAGATCATGGATGTATTGGTTGTAATTTTCCAAAAATCATTGGATTCTGGAGGATTACAGGAGGATTAGAAAACTGTCAATATGACAACCTCTATTCAAAAAAGGAGGGAGCCAAAAAGTGGGTAAGTATAGACTGATTAGTTTAATATCTATTCATGGAAATATGTTGGAATAAATTATTAAGGAAATAATAGAGGAACGTTTGGAAAATCATTCAAATTATGCATAGTCAGCATCACTTCCCAAAGGGGTGATTGTGCCACACAAATTTTTAGTTTTTCAAGGAAATCTCAACCAGAATGGACAGAGGAGAACTAGTTATATTTGGCCTTCCAGAAGGCAGTCAACAAGACAAAAAGATAAGTCAGCGATAAGCGCCCTGGTGTTGGAGATAGTTAATTTTCTGCCTATGCCAATATATTAATTGATAAGAAACCGTGAGTGGGGAGAAGCAGCTGCCTGTGATTCATAGGTTCCACAGGGATCAGTGCTGGGACCACAGCTGTTTGTATATTTATATATATTATGATATATATTATGTTCTATCTGTATGACTTAGAGGAAGACCATAATATATTGTAGCAGAATTAAGTCATTTGGTCTATCAAGTCTGCTTCACCATTCAATTATGGCTGATATGTTTCTCAAGCGCATTTTCCTGCTTTCTCCCCATAACCCTTGATACCCTTACTAATCAAGAACATATCTATCTTCATCTTAAATATACTCATTGACTTGGCCTCCACAGCTGTTTGTAGCAACGAGTTCCACAGATTAACTGTGCTCTGGCTGAAGATATTCTTCCTCATCTCAGTTCTAAAGGATCATCCTTTCACTTTGAGGCTGTGTCCTCTGGTCCAAATAGTTCCGACATGTGGAAAAATCATCTCCACCTCACTCTATCCAGGCGTCTCAGTATTCTGTAAGTTTCAATGAAATCCACCCTCATCCTTCTAAACTCCATCAATTACAGGCCTAGGGTTCTTAACCATTCCTCGTCTGACAAGTCCTTCATCCCTGGGATTATTCTTGTAAACATCCTCTGGAATTCCTTCAAGGCTAGCACATCCTTCCTTAGATATGGGGCCCAAAACCTCAGCCTCAGCAGTATATTCTGCTCTTTAATTCCAGCCCTCTTGAAATGATTGCTAACATTGTATTTGCCTTCCTAACTGCTAATGAACCTGTATGTTAACCTAGTTGCCCTTGAGAAGGTGGTGGTGAGTTGTCTTCTTGAACTCCTGCAGTCCGCGTTATGTAGGTTGACGCATAATGCCCTTACGGAGACCATTCCCTGAATTTGACAGTGAAGAAATGGTAATGTAATTCCAAGTAAGGATGGTGAGTGGCTTGGAGGGGAACATGAATGTGATGGTATTCCCACATATTTGCTCCCTTTGTCCTTCCAGATGGAAGTGGTCATGGGTTCAAAAAGTGCTGTGTAAAAATCTTTGGTGATTTTCTGCAGAGCATTTTGTAGATAGTACAGACTACTGCCACTAAGCGTGGGTGGTGGAGGGAGTGGATGCTATTGAATGTGGTGTCAGTCAATCAGGTACTTTGTCCTGGATGGTATCAAGCTTCTTGAGTGTTGTTGGAGCTGCATCTCTTCAGGCAAGTGGGGAGTATTCCATCACACACCTGACTTGTGCTTTGTAGAGGTGGATAGGCTTTGGGAATTTAGGAGGTGAATTGCTCGCTGCAGTTTTCATCTAATCTACTCTTGTAGTCACTGTGTTTATGCAATGAGTCCATTTGAGTTTGTGGGGAATTCAGTGATGTAAAAACCCTTAAATGTCAAGGGGAGATGATTAGAATGTCTCTTATTGGAGATGGTCATTGCCTGGCATTTGTGTGGTGCAAATGTTACTTGCTACTTGTTAGCCCAAGCCTGGATATTGTTGCATTTGAATATGGACTGATTCAGTATCGGAGGACTTGTGAATAGTGCTGAATGTTGTGCAATCACTGCCAAGCATTTGACTTCTAAGTCCACTTCTGAGTTTATGATAGAGGGAAGGTCATTGATGAAGCAGGTTAGGATAGTTTGGCCTAGGGCACCAGTCTGAGGAACTCCTGTAGAGATCACTTGGAGCTGAGATGACTGACCTCCAACAACCATGACCATCTTCCTATGTGCTAGATATGACACCAACCAGCGGTGAGTTTGCCAACAATACCCATCGATTCCAGTTTTGCCAGGGCTCCTTAATACACACTTAGTCAAATGCAGCCTTGATGTCAAGGGTTATCGCTCTCACCTCACCTTTTAGAATTCTGCTGTTTTGCTCATGGTTGAATCAAAGCTGCAATGAGCTCATTGGTCCTGGCAGAATCCAAACTGGGAATTACTTAAGCAAGTTATTGCTGAACAAGTGCTGCTTGGTAGCACTATTAATGACATCTTCTGTCACTTTACTAATGATCATTAGTAGACTCATGGGACAGTAATTGGCTGGGTTGGATTTGCCCTGCTTTTCATATACAGGACATACCCAGACAATTTTCCACATTGTCAGGTAGATGTCAGCGTTGTAACTATACTGGAACAGCTTAGCCGGTGGAGCAACCAGTTCTGGCGCACCAGTCTTTAGTACTATTACTGGGACATTGTCAAGGGCCCATAGCCTTTTCAGTACCCAGTGCCTCTAATGATTTCTTGATATCATGTGGAGTGAATCAAATTGACTGAAGACTGGTATCTGTAATGCTGGGGACCACTGGATGAGACCGAGATGGATCATCCACTTGGCATTTCTCGCTGAAGGTTGCTGCAAATGCTTTAGCCTTATCTTTTGCGTTGGGTTCTTCCATTATTGAGGATGGGGATTTTTGTGAACCTGCCTCCTCCATGAGTTGTACAATTCTTCACAACCATTCACAACTGAATGTGGCAGGATTGTGAACTTAGATTGGTTTTGGGATTGCTTAGCCCTGTCTATCACTTGCTGCGTATGCTGTTTGGCATGCGAGTAGTCCTGTTTGGTAGCTTCATCAGGTTTTTGGGTATGCCTGGTGCTGCTCCTGGCATGCCCTCCTGCATTCTCCTTTTAACAAGGGTTGATTCTTTAGCTTGAGAGTAATAGTTGATAGGAGGATATACTGGGCCATGAGATTGTGCTGGAATAAAACTTTTCTGCTGTTGATGGCCCACAGTGCCTCATGGATGTCCAGTCTTGAGTTTCTAGATCTGTCTGAAGTCTATCTCATTTAGCATGGTGATAGTGCAACATGACATGATCGCAGTTATTCTCAACGTGAAGGAAAGACTTCATCTCCACAAGGTCTGTGAGGTCACCACTCTTTCCAATACTGTCATGGACAGATGTGTCTGCAGCTGGCAGATTGGTAAGGATGAGGTCAAGTATGCTTTTCCCTCTTGTTGATTCCTTCACTGCTGCTGCAGGGACACTCCTGGTGGTGGATATTGAAATCCCCCATCCAAAGTATATTTCGCACCTTTGCCACCCTTAATACTTCTTTCAAGTGTTGTTCAACATGGGGGAGTACTGATTCATCAGTCAAGGGTGGTATGTGGTAATCAGCAGGCAAGGAAGCGTCCTATATTTAACCTGAAGCCAAGAGACTTCATGGGGTCCAGAGTCAATGTTAAGAACTCTGAGGGCAGCTCCATCCCAAATGTATACCACTGTCCTGCCACCTTTATTGGGTCTGTCCTGGGACAGGACGTATCCACAAGATGGTGATGGTGGCACTGGGACATTGTCTGTCAGGTATGATTCTGTAAGTATGACTGCCAGGCTGTTGTTTGACTAGTCAGTGAGACAACTCTTCCATTTTTGGTACTAGTCCCCAGATATTAATGAGGAAGACTTTACAGAGTTGACAGGGCTGCTTCTGCTTTTGTCTGTTCTGGTGCCTAGGTTGATGCCAGGTCATCTATCTAGTTTCATTTCTTTTTTGACACTTTGTAGCAATTGGTACAACTTAATAGCTTGCTAGGCCATTTCAGAGGGCATCTGCTGCAGTGGAATTCGAACTGGAGTCCCCAGAATATTTGTTGAGTTTCTAGAATAATAGTCTCTCAATAATACCACTAGGCCATCGCCTACCCTGTTTCTCTTGTTTCTACTTCTTATGGTGTTCTCTTGCCACCTAATATTGTGGAGGTTTCTTTTAAAAAAGTCCTGCAAACTTCAGATGAGAGGCAATACTTGTATGGCACCCATCATGACCTCAGGATGACCTCAGGATTGCTTTATAGCCAATGGAATCCTATTGAAATTTAGGGAGAACCAACAACCAGCTCGAACGAAGCAAGTGTCCTACAATGGCAATGCAATGCTGATATTGGTTAAGTATAGAATTGTCGAATGATTACTGCCCAGAAGGAGGTCATTTGGGCCATCACGAGTATGCTGGCATTTTGCAGCACAGCTCATCTGGACTCAATCTCACACCTCTTCTTCATAACCCTGTAGTTTTCCTCCTGGTGATCACAGGGATTAAGAAATATTTTGAAGTTTAATAATTTCTGCGTCCATCAGCTTGAAAAAAAAGGAACGTTTCACAATTAAGAGGATACAAGCCATTTATGTAGTTACCTATTAACTCAACAAGATTCAATGTTGCTTCCTTCATTAAAACTTTAACTGAGGCAATTCAAGGGAAATCAAGGATCTGTGATCTATACTATCAACTTCTAGACTTGCTCTCCATATCTATAAAAAGAGATTGCTACCAAATTTCTTCTTAGCTTTGAATTTGCATGGTGCTCTGTCTTCATGTCTATAACATAATACAAGATGTTTAATTGTTGCCAAAAACACACTAAGGGATTATGATGTATATTAACTTGTCCCCATTGCTTTCAATGCTGCCTATTTTTTGTATTGCTTCCTGGGTTTCATGATTATTGAGAGCTTTGTGTGAGGCTAACACCTCTTAAAATTAGCCTGCAACATGGAAAGGCAACATGCACTCTATCTGCATCACAAGCTGTAATTGTTTGTGAAAGAGAGTCTAAGTAAGTTATGGCATTACATGGGAGAAAGCACACTTTAATGTTCCCAGATACTGCACAGGATGCCTTGGAGGAGGAGATAATGAGAAGTTCCAAATTGAACTTGAAGGCCATCCTGACAGATTGCTAAAGGTAATGGGATAAGATAGCCATGGCAGTCAAAATTAGGTGACCAGCCTTGAGGACTTCATGCTCAGTACCACAATGTTCCAGAACCTTAGTTGAATGCTTAGGGACAGTAATGTGTCTTCGACTACAATACCCAATCAGCTACACCACTTGCCTCGCATGCTGCTCAGTAAACTGCAGCACGATCACTCACTTACACTCATCTGTGCCGATCATGATTTCTAACCGTTAATCTACCATCACACACATGTCACTGCTGAAAGTTTAACACTTGCTACCACTGTCAGCTTTCCAATCATAAGTCCAAGATAGTGGTAGAGTAAGACCCTCCAGTCGGAGCTCCTCTGCTTTCATTTTCTTCCTCTCTTCTTTATTTCTCCTTTCTGCATTAGGGTAATGGGGGTGCTGGTGAGCCCTGGAGGCGAATTCCAGAGCGGAGGCCAGCATGGGGAGACAGTCCCAGAGCAGCAGCCAGCGTGGGGATACAGTCCCGGGCAGAGGCCGGCATGGAGAAGTAGTCCTGGTGCTGTGGCCAGCGTGGGGAGCAAGTCCCAGGTGAGGCCGGTGAAGGGAAGGAGTCCCGGAAGAAACTTACCTTGGAGCAGCTGACAGCCAGTGTGGAGTGGACTGGAGGCTTGGAGCAGAGTGGGGACAATTGTTGGACTAGCGTCTGGCGTGGGTGGTCAAACCATGTGTGTAGCTTAGCCCCTGTGCTGAGCTACTGCAATGAAATGTTTATTTGTAACTTGTTCATCTGACTGTAATGTCAATCCTTTAACTATGTCTTATTTCTAACTTATTCTTTAAATATTGTAAAGTAATGCAAGTACTTTTTGTTTTTATTCCTCTTTTGTATCTAAGATTTGAACCTAGGTACTCTGTGATTCTACTTCTACCTAGATGACGCCATAAGAGGTGACATTGTAAAACTTTTCACTGTACTCCTGTACTTCTGTACTTGAGTATATGTGCCAATGAAGGATATTCTGAGTCTATTCTAATTCTAATTCTAAATAACTATATCATCCAAATAAATTTAGCCACTCTCATTCTCACATCCTCATCTCATGGACGACCAGGTAGCACATAACTAGACGTAGAGGAAACAAATAGTTGAAGTACAGTTGAAGGTCCTCATCGCAAAGTAGATAGGTGATCACCATGTTTGGAGTGACCATCATTGAGACTGTAGGCTTTGGCCTGGCTGAAAGGATTAAAAGATGACTGAATCCTCATGTCTACTTTTTCTCCTCACATCTCACTTCATTCTCTTTGTGCAATCCCTTCTGGTTTACCAGCTGAAGATTTTTAAAATATGTATCTCTTACATTCCAGATCCCTTCCCTCATCTTGTCTTTTCATATCCTCAAGAATTATAACCTGATGAGGCAGTGGTGGAAGATCAGGAGGTGAGAAAGTAGGAGGACAATGATGAAGAAATGCCATCATATATTCAGTACCAGCACTCACAACCCTTGGCATACATTAGGGGCTATCTTTAGAGGCAGAGACTACACATGGTATAATATTGAAACTTGAAGCATTTTTTTCTTGTTGACTACTGTACAAGTTAACTCTAACTGCTTCTTTGAGACTTTGCTTGATTTGTTTTGCTTTTATGTAATTACTGTTACACTTTCACTAACACCCCCCAACACTCCAGCTCTCCTGCAAGAGGAGCATAATGGTTATGTTTTTGGACTAACATTGAGACCCCTAAACTGACCTGAGTTCGGTCTGACCTGAGTCTCCTGCTGACTCAACGGAGAGAGCTACCCTCAGATCCGAGTCACAGCACTGAAGTATGTTAGAGCCTGGAGAATGCCGGCTCCAGTTATCAGCTTTACAGAAAGGAGAAGAGTCAATTCTCATGACCTCACAATTTACTTTATTAATGCATTAAACAAGACATATGTTGCTTATATGTTTTATTACAAATTAGACCTTATATATTTTCCCACAAACTGAACTAGAACCTACTTATACACCCACTGGCGTCCTCTAACACTTCCCACTTCACAGAATATAAAAGCTAACACTCGATCAGGATAGCTGCTGCTGCTAATGAGGGCTGACGCTGCACTCAATGTTGTCAGCACATTGCAGGATGGTTAGTCTCCAGAGTTTTTGCTGACATGTTCTTTCTCTTATCTCTCTCGAGTCGTGCTGTCTCCTTCCCATTGGCTCAGGCTAGTCTGCTTATCGCATGCCTTTACCTTATTGACCCAGGTAGCATTACCTCATTGCTCCTTGTCTGAATAAAGTTTTTGCATTACCTCATCTTTCTTACTTTTTGCAGAACTTTGTTGGTACCAAGTGGTTCCAATCGGCTCAGGTCAGCACCAGAACTTAGGCCGTTCTCAGTTCGTAAACTGTTTCTTTCCTGTGTGTGTCAAAAGTTTTACACCAAGAATTCCCAGCAGCATGTCTGCAGCTAGTAGCCCTCTGTCTCTGCAGCCTGTGGTGGCTGGTACCTCTCTTTCTCTGCAACCTCCTGGCTATCAATAGGATAGAAGGAAAAACGTTGGCAAGGAGAACATTGGAGTCGAGTCTAAAAGAGCAAAGGAATAGATGAGAATTTCAGGAGCAGATGAGCTCAGACACGATGGAAATAGCCAGTGTTATGGGAGTGAAATATGCTCATTAAAAGCAGCACTTCAGGTTGACAAGGCCATGGGAAAAGCCAATGGAATTTTAGGTTTTATGTCAGGAGATGTAAAACATAATATCCACGAGGTGATAATGACCCCATATTAATCCTTCATAAGAATCCAGTTAGTGTATTGTCTGTATTATTAGGCTCCTTGTTCTTTGAAGAATGTTGAGGGTGTGGGCAGGGTATATTTCAGTGCAGGATTTGCTGGGCAGTAACTTATAGGGTATGAGCAATTTGGGCTGTATTGAGAAATCTGGCTGAATCACACAAAAAGACAATGAGACCAAGCTGAACAGCCAGACTAATTCTTAACTAAGCTTTTGGTATTGAGGTCACATTTCCACTCAGGAGCAATGAGTTGTCTATAAAGAGGGATTGTGGGTTGTTAATGACTATATTAACTGTACATCTCTCCTCATTAAAATGCAGATTCCTATCCTACCACCTGCTGCAAGCAAACTAAATGCTGAAAATTCTTGACATGGAAGTCAGAGTGGGTACTTAGTGATTTCAGCTCACTATTGCTGCAAAGAGTCTCCACATTGGTCATAATGTAACAGCATCCCAAGGCATAATTCACGGGCATCAGTCCCACACACCCTCTCATCAGTTGGCATTGGCATCTGAAAATTGCCAATCCCTCAGAATCCAATGGCACCTCTCTAATCCACTTGCAAGACACATAGAAGCACAGATTGGCATTTCAGGGCACACCAACAACTAATATTGAAACGCTACTGCAAGAACACTCTGTGTGTCAGGATAGGCACACTGCTCATAGATTGCCCTCAGCTACATCTCAAGGTGTTTGTTTGGTCTGTTTGTACTTGCTTACTTAGTGCCTTCCTGCATGTGTCTTACCTATTAGCAAGTTCCACAACCAGGCAGCTTACAAATGGCACATGGGCTTGTTGCAGTGCTGTAGGTGGACAATTTGCCTAAGGTGCACCATATGCCTGCAGCGTATGCGGCAAACATACTACATGTGCAGCAACCAAGCAGGCATGTCTCAAAGTATTAGGAGGGGAGGCTTTATTGAAGTCCAAGGAAGTATTTATCAGTGAGTCCTGCTACGCTAAGTCAAGAACAGCCTCCAAAATCATCCCATGGTCAAGCATCCATTCCAGTTGTTCGCAGTCAGGGGGTCCATGTCCAGGGATGTGGGTCATGATTAGTCCTATGGCTCCATAGTGGCTAGTCTGGGCCGGGGGGTGGGGGGGGGGGGTTGTTGGTAGGGCACTTCTTATCTGGGGCTGTCTGGTTAGTCACTCAGATGAGTGGACGTTGATCAGTCCATTAGGTCCATCCCAAAATACCAAGGACAAATCTGAGTAATGGGACAAGGAGGGCTGTTACGACAGGAAAGAAACTTTGGAACATATTCATGGGTATTGGAAGTGAGGGTGTGAAAAGGGCTGATGACAGTTGTGAAGGTGGGCAACTCTATTTGTAAGGGAGAGGTTGGTGAAGCATGGTGGGAAGAGGGTCATGCATGAGGGGTGTTTGTCCGGAGTAAGGAAGTTAGGGGTGAGGTGGTGTAGTTGGAGATAGGCTTCAATGTCTGATCTTAACTGGCATGGTCATTTCATATGCCAGGGGCTGAGGGAGAAAAGAGGTCAAGTGCAGACTCATGTAGATATGTTGGATAGATACCTGGGCAAGTGTGAAGTCTACGGAGTTAACCATAGCTATCAGGAAGGGGATCTGGGTGTCTGAGGCTCACCAACAAATGGAGCTGGAACCTGGAAACCACTACTTGAACAGTGTTCACACTTCCATTGTGTTGAGAATCAAAATTTGACAACTACACCTGCACTGGAGCCAAACACCCCCCTCCATCACTGCCACCTGACCAGAACAGTTGTTGTGGGTAAAGACCTCACAGTTGCTGTGCATGAAGACTTGCCTCAGGATGGTTGTGAAATGGTAGTTATCTCACCACCTTGCTGACTGGGACTTGGAGGTTGTTGTGGACAGTTTGGCGGAGACGATGTATGTCCCTTTTCTTCAGAATCAGGAAAGGATGTCATGGCAGCAGATCCTGCCAACCTCATCTGAGGTCCACAGTCCAGAAGAACACCCCCCAGTGCCACAAGAAGCTTAATGACTGCTGCACTTACCATCAGCTTATCTTTGCTATCTCACATTCATTCTGTGTCTGATGCTGCACACATCTCTTATTACAGCGCATGCTTTACCACACTCACTCTTGAACATTGTATCTTCCCTCACTAGCGTGCATATACACACACACCATGCATGCATGAATACACGTGCATACACACGCACGCTCACATGGACAGGCATAGATGCACAAGCGCATGTGCATGCACACATGTACAGAAAAAAATACTGCTAATCCTGTATTCCCCTGTTCTACTTATTCATTCACTTGTGACATCTCGCCATCTTTCCTAAATCTGCATTGACACTAACAGTTTCATCTCTTTCATCTCACTCAATCCCGTTCCCATCCCCCAACTTTGTTCTATTCCATGAGAAAAAAACCCAAAATAAAGGCAGAGAAAACACTCTGAAGGGTGGTGAGGTGCCTGCCATCCATCTCCTCCTGACCACATATACCGACACTACTGTTACCCCCAACATCCCACCCATTCCACCCCCAAAGGAGAGCACCTTGCCTGAGTAGAAGACTGATGTGGTGATGCTGAGACCGCGATTTCCTGCCAGTGAAGTAAGAATCATTCTCAGGTTCAGTGCCACTCCTGTGAACGTATTAACAGGCCTGAAGTTTTACTGTTATTTCACAACTCATTCTCTCTTTTATATTCTGCAGGAACCAGTGACATTGCACAGTCTCCAGCATGAAGACCCTTTGGGCATCCCCTCCTCTTCCACTTCTGAGAAAGAAGACACAGATCCCTCAGAGGAAGCACCAGTAAGACTGCCTCCTGTACTGCCTGCCGGTTCAGATACGTTCTAGTGGGGATGTCACCACCACATCTCCGCAGCTGGTCGAGAAAGAAAGGCCCAGGTCACTGGCAATCAGAAGACTGCCAAAGACCAGCAGCTGCTTAGTGCCAGGCAGGTGAAGACCCTATGGTGCTGATCACTAATAACTTCATCCAAATGTACAAGCAGACTCTGGAGTGGCACACAGGTTTTGGACAAAATGACCTGAAGATTGAGAACTCCACCAGCGCTATCTGCATCGTCTGGCTCTCTCTCGACCCATGGTCTAACAAACTCAACTTCTGCCGAATATGCATACAGGGCTGCCCTCTATTGCTGTAGACATTGCCTTCCTGTTGGTGAGCACCAATGTGCCTTGAGGGACCTTGATTGAATTCCAAGTATCCTTCCCTCACAAGGAGACCA